GCAGAGGGAGAAGCAGGCTCCCAAGGAGCAGGGAGCCCGATGCGGGACTCGATCCCACGACCCTGGGATCATGACCTGAGCCGAAGGCAGACGCTCAACCATCTGAGCCACCCAGGCGCCCGGGAAGGATGATGTTTTAATCGTAAGACAAAAGCAATATCAAAGCTGTAGAGTGGAAAGTCCCAGACACATTCGCTGTTATTTTTTTAAAAAAGATTTTATTTATTTATTTGAGAGCAAGCGAGTGAGCATGGGGAGGAGCAGAGGAAGAGGGACAAGCAGACTCCATGCTCAGCATGGAGCCTGACACGAGCCTGATCTCACGATGCTGAGATCATGACCTAGGCCGAAATCAAGAGTCGGTTGTTTAGCCAACTGAGCCTCCCAGGTGCCCCACATTTGCTATTATTACATACAGCAAGACTGAAGTACATACATTGTATCTCAAATGGAAAGCAAGCCAGGTAAATTTTTGGGCTTCCTTTCCAATAACTGAGAATATGTATTATTTCTTGGAAGACTTGGATAGCTTTTTCTCTAGTATCATTCAACCAAAAGGAAAAGCCAGATTTTCCACATGTAGGTTTACAAATCCCTGGCCTTGGGAAAGGGGTTTTAATTTTAAGTGTAGCTAAAATAGCAATCTTCCTCAGGACCCAAGGGACCTTAAGCTGGGCAATAGCCCATTAATAGACCAGTTCTGGGTATTCGTAACATTCTGGAATAATAACAGACCCAGGGAGCATATGTTTTTTTAAAAAGATTCTATTTATTTATTTGTCAGAGAGAGAGAGAGAGAGAGAGAGAATGCACAAGCAGCACGCAGAGGGAGAAGCAGACCTCCCATCAAACAGGGAGCCCGATGCGGGACTCGATCCAAGATCATGACCTGAGCTAAAGGCAGACGTCCAACCAACTGAGCCACCCAGGCATCCCCCAGGGAGCATATTTATAGTCCAGAAGTAAAAAGGAGTGAGAGGTGGGCAGGAGGACAAGTGTGAGTCATGCTTTATTCTGTCCTACTGGAAGCTCTCACAGAGCCTTCCCTCTGACTAAGCACAAGTGGCCTGGCAGCTGAAAGCTTGCAGATGCAGAACCAGGTGATCGTGCTTGACAACATTATTAATTCCAAAGTGCCAGGCAAACGGACCATATAATATGGAATTAATGTTTGGAGAAACTGACCCGGGCTTTCTCTTTTGGGTCCTTTTCTTGCTCTTCTGGACTCTCTCCTAAGGCTTCTGCCATAACTACCCACTTCAATAAAAATATCTTAGATTTGAAAAGAATATGCAAGGGAAAGAACACCATATTGGGCATTAGGAGACCAAACTAGGCTCTAATCCCATTCATGTCACAGATCTGCTGTGTTATAGGGACATTTCAACCTCTTTGGGCCTTGAGGGGAAAAAAAAGTAGGGGTAGGTTGGGATTGACAGAGTATGTAGACTCATGTTTCCTCAGGAGGCAGACTCCTGACTCTCTTAAGTGACCTCCTTCCTTGCCACAGTCCTGGCATGCCTCCACCGTGCTGATCTGAGAACCTGAATGGTTTCATCAAGGATCCACGGAAGCAGGTCCTTGTCCTTTACTCCAATTGAGGACCACCCTCCATTCTGCCCCCACTCCCTTTCTCTCCCTGCTGCCCAGATCCCTAGGGATTTCCTTTTCTTCTTCCGGAATCTAGCTGCCACCCTCCTCATTACCACTGGCAGCCTCTCCCACAGCCTCCGGGGGGATCTGTTACCGTGATGTCAAGCAGCACAGCCCCTGCTCCAGCTGCCTCCCCGTCTTCCCTTCTACTGTGACTCTCCTGACTATCACTTGCTATTCCCAGCCCAAAGCCATTACCTTTGACAGAAAAAGAGATTCCCACTGCCCAGGGAAAGGGTTAGAAGAAATGAAAGAAAAGAGAATAAGAGTTCCTGTTCCTATTGCTAGGGTTTTTATTGTGAGGAATGCGGTTTCTAGGATATAGCAGGAGCTCAAAAATGTGTTCTGGTGAATAAAACAGTGGTCCCTAATCAAATCTCTTAAAGCTATTCTCAGAGTTATGTTACTATATACAGGGCAGTTCTGTTTGTCCTGTGTGTATGATGGACTAAATAGCTTTTCTGCAGGCTGGCCTGGAAACCTCCCTCTCAGGAGGCATTGTTTCTATGGGAAATTGCGGTCTGAGTGGCAAACAATTGACTTACTAATGACCATTAGAAACTACCTTTCCTTCCTTAGGAATGGTTTTTAAAACAGGGAAATTAAAAAATGTGGTAGCCAAAGAAGAAATCAAAGAGCAGCCATCTCGGGCTATAACATAATTCTATGTACACACATTATCATAGACACACATATGAGTAACACACATACAGACAGATACGTAGAAGTTGATAAAAATACACTATATAATTGGCCACACACACACACTACTCTTATCTTCATTAACAGCATGGGTTCAGCCTCCAGAGACTAGTCCCAAAAGCCGACATATGCTGTGAGAAGGGGGTTTCAGTGATCATAAGAAGAAATACAAAGGATGTGTAGACACCACAGGGTAATGCAGGAGAATCAAGAACAAGAAATTGGAGGACACCTGGCTGGCTCAGTTGGTGGAGCATGTGACTCTTGATCTTGGGGTTGTGAGTCTGAGCCCCACGCTGGGTAAGGAGATTACATAACAAAAATAAAATCTTTAAAAAAAAAAGAAAGAAAAAGAATTTGGAAAAGAAGATATATAAAAGAGCTTAATATGGACAGGATATCCCACCAAAGTATCTGAACAAAATCCTCCTTAGAAAATAAATGCATGGAAGCTCCCACTCATTGCACGAAAGGTAGGTAACTGATACTCGGCATTAGAGAGGATATTTCATAGTGCTCTGAGTCGGGGAAAGAGACAGAGGCAGGAATCAGTAAGGCATGTGTAGGGGGCAAGCAAGTGGGGACTTGAGTGGAAAAGCCAGAAAGCCTGTGGCTAACATTTATGAAAGGACTCTGTCTGCTGAGCTGAAGTGCACAGGTCTGACAGGTCAAGTAACAAGGTACCAAGGGCTCTTTCTTTTTGTTTTGTTTTGTTTTTTTTTAAAGATTTTATTTATTTATTTGACAGAGAGAGGGAACACAAGCAGGGGGAGTGGGAGAGGGAGAAGCAGGCTTCCCACGGAGCAGGGAGCCCAATGCGGGGCTCGATCCCAGGACCCTGGGACCATGACCTGAGCTGAAGGCAGACGCTTAGCGACTGAGCCATGCAGGCGCCCCGGTACTAAGGGTTCCGAAACAGGACGGTGAAATGAACAATACCAGTGTGGGGCGGGGTCTGGAAGGGCATTCTGCACATAAACCATCACTGACCTGACGGGTACCAAAGACCAGGCACGTCAATACAATCTTCATACTGAAATTCAAAACAAAGAAGGATGCCTCAAAACGGTGCCCCTGTGCTGGGGCGTCCAGGCTGACTCACCTCATAGAAGAGCCCCTCTGGGAACTGCTGGAAACACTGAGCACACACAAAGCACTGCTCGTGGTACAGCTCCCCGTTACTGTTCACTATCTTCTCGGCGGGCGCAAAGCCCCCCTTGCAGCGCTCACAGGTGGCGTTGGCCAGGGCATTGGCCATGTTGCTGTAACACATAAAGCACAGGAAGTCACAGACTGTCTACCTTTTCTTAGACTTAAGACCAAATGACACGAAGAACTGAGGAGAAAATTCTATCTGATCACAAAAATCATACTGTAGCCCTAAAGCCCAATTTCTTGTGTCTTAAGAACTCAAACTGGTCCCATCTCTTTGTCCTTGCATCTGAGGTGCTGAAAGGGCCTCCTGCTTGGAATCTGTTTTTCTTTAACATTTCTGACATTCTTCTTGCTAAATATCCTATAAGTGAGTGCCCACTACCTGTGAGGAACTAGGCATAGAGACAGAAGTTCAAGAGCTGCCCTCCAGGAGCTTGAGGTTACAGCTTAATAAGCCTAATTAAAATAGCCACAGGTCACCATCTCAAAGCCCATTTCTCTTCCTTCTGAGAACAGAATCTAAACTGCATGTCAACTGAACACCATGTCCTGACACAGGTTATCCCTTTGGTTAGATCCTGCTGAAGGCAACTGCTGCAAGTAGCTCCTAAAACCTGCCAGAATGCTTTAGTCCTGTAATCTCATTGTTAAGACAAGTATTGAGCACCAACATTATAAGCTGTATCTTAATCAGAGGATTGTACATTGTGAAAATCATTTTATAGATGACATGGGGAGGTTCAGGGAGTTGGAGTGACCAGCCCAACATCACAAAGCTCAGTAGTTAATGGAAGACATTGGAGCAGAATCCAGAGTCCCTGTTCATAAAATCACAACCAGATTACAGTATCAATTTCAAACACCCAAGAAGACATGCTAGGGACACCTACCACCTATCAAATGACCACCGATGAACCCAATGACCTGGTCTTTCCCGGCCGTCATTCCACTATACCCTGAAACATATAGGAGGCACTCAATAAATGGACCCACATCCTAACTAACCACTGTGTAGTTTGCAAGAAGAAAAGCATATACTCAGATAATTAGTTAGCTCTAACAAGCCCTGGTTTCACATAAAGAACTGCTTTGTTCTAAAAGGCCTTGAAGTGGGGAGGGTCCCCTCACCAGAGCAGTCATTGGCCAAGCCGTCCTTCACAATTTGGCAAGTTTATTTTCAGATGCCCACTCAGAGCACAAGTTCTACCTGTGTGTCTAGTTGCCTGGTGCAGCCTGTAACCATCTACTAGATATTGAGTCAATCATATTGAGTCAATGTTACCGCCAACATTCTCTAGAATCAACCACCCTGTGAGGCAGGTGAGGAGCCTTCATTTTACAGACAGATTAATTGCCTTGTCTCCATCCCACCCCAATGGAAGACAATTTTTTGCCTTCTTGCCCTAAATGTTTCAAAGAACAGTATTCCTACCTATTTTGTAGCCTTGCCATAACTAACCCCACGTAGAAGTACCACGTTCATAACCACATACCAAATCATAACTCAACTTTACTTAATAGGCTTAAATATAGAATTAAAACATCACAAAAAAAGGGAAAAAAAGGAAGAGAGGCAGCCTCATTGCTTGGCAAAACTGGCCTAAGTCTCATATTAAATTTTCTACTTTGTCATTTCAAAATTACTGTAGGTTATGGAGAAAAATGCATCACATTCCCTTCTTCATTTGGCTTTGCCATAAGCCAGATGAACTGTGGCAGTTTTAGCAAAGCTCTTGGAAAGGCTTGTGCTTCCCCTTTCACCTGACCAAAACCCACAGGTGTTTCTAGTTGAAGTATGGTAAAACTGCCCCAATAATTCCTAGTATCTCTTGGAGGATAAAATAAGAAAACTTATATAACTTTGGAAGCCAGAAGATGCTACTCAAATATAAAGCATTATTAATTTTGAACCCTCTCAAAAGATTCACCAGATGCTTGTAATTTTAATAGAACTCCCAAAAAGCAGGAAGAGAACAACATTCTGGAATGTCTAGATTCATTATCTAGATCAAGTGGTTCTCAAAGTATAGCGGCCACCATGACCCTTTTAGGGGTTCAAAAGTTCCTCCCTTTTCCTACTACATCTCTGTGGGAGGCATATTTTCTTTATATACATTATCTAAAGCAACATATTGCACTAGGATAAACGCAGAACTGAGAAACTGTCTTATTTAGACAGTCATTAATGAGATTTGCAAAAATGTAATTCAATGCCACTTTTTCCACCAAGCTTTTGTCATTTTGTAAATAGTTATTTTTCATAAAAATTCATTAATATTAATACTTACTAATATTAACATGTAATGAGTTTATTGTTATTTTAAATAAATGCATATTTAATTTTGCTCTCAGTGTTTATTTTCTAAGACAGTAAATACTGATAAGCAAAAGCTCTTTGGGGACTTCAGTAATTTTTAAGAGTGCAAAGCGGTCCTAAGATCAAAAGCATTTATCACCTGTTTCCTACTCATTATACTAAACACTGGTTATATTCAAATTTAAATACTCAAATAGAAAATAGGCAGACACATTATAAAAACATATAGTTTCCCAACACACAGGAAAAATAAGCTAGCTTTAGAAATAATGTAATGCATATTTTTGAAGAAGTATTCCTTTTAATAACAAGCAGGGTAAGAAAAGAAACTACATTAGAGGAAACTTTCAGAAAGAACCCCTAATAATCTCACCAACCTACTTGTTTACATTTCCTTTTCCTCTCTTGTCTTTGACCCTCTGGCACTGTGAATTTTTTTAATGGACGATTTTTTAGAGCAGTTTTAGGTTCACAGCGAAACAGAGAAAGGCGTAGAGTTCCCCTTCACCCCCACATGCAAGCCTCCCCTGCTACCATCATCCTCCACCAGAGACGTACTTGGTTATGACTAATGAACCCACAGTGACCTGTGTATTTTTTTTACAGTTGTTTTTTATATTTAACACTACCTGTGATAGAAATTACATTTCAAAAGTAATGAATGATAGTTTTAACTGTCATCCGGTTAGTTATAATTAGTTGGCTAATTTTTCAAAAAAGGATTTTTGCTAAGAAGTGGTGTTGATGACAAAGAATATATATGTTGGGAAATACATATGTAAAAGGCTTTAATACGGAATCTTCCCATTTGGCCAGTCGTAACTGATTTACCTGACCCACTTCCACAAATCAACCGCACACAGAAAACCTGGTATCATTGAGCTTTTTGTTTTTCAAGTGCCTCATTGATGAAAGTATGTGAAACAAACTTTTCTGGCATCAAAATGAAAAAATGTGTAAATCCAAAAAGCATCTTGAGAGTCCACAAAGCATTTTGGCTACAGTATAATTATAATTGCCCAATTACACTTAAACAGAACTCGTTATAAGTTGTGAAAATAAATGACATCTGTTACAATACCACACAGAATGGATTAATGGAAATAGAGAATCAGGTCAGTTAAATTCTCCTTAACTCTTAATTGACAAACTGGGTATTTGCAATAATTCCAAGCTTACGACTATGCAGGAGGTCAACAATCTTAAATGAGTTGGTCTAAATACTACTCTGCACTACTTTGTTTGCTAAAACCCATTTAATAACATGAATTAGACATTTTAGACCTAATAGCATATATATATATATAAATATATGTATATGTGCTAGTTACACAGCATCCTTATTTATTCATTCAATCCCCTCAAGACAGTATTAAAAAACCCAGTTAGCCTACTTCAAACTGCTGTTAAACCTAACAAAAATGTGTATCTTTATCAACAGTCTGTAATTCAGTTTTTACTGCTTCCCTCAACCGACCCCTCATCTGTGGGAAGTTTTAGAGCATACAATTTTTCTATTATAAATCCTGACAGCAAAAACTCTAAACCTCCTTCTTGGACTACATAATGAAAACGTACTATTGTCAGGAACCTATTGAACACAAAGACATTACTACTATTACTGTAAAGGTAGCATTTTCTTTCACTTCTGCATTTCATCTGGTGTATTCCTGCCTGCTGGAATATGCCCCCCTCCATCACCCTGGAATGCCCCTCCTGAAAGTTGAGGAAATAAAACCATCAATGGCTAATGAACTCAAAGCCCAAGAAGGCTAGATCTGGAAGACAGGAGCACCTCTTCCAGGAGAGGAGACACTTACAATTTCGCATAGAAGTCACAAAACTCCTTGTAGACCTTTACGTCACTGTGCCTGCGCTGCAGTTTGGACACAGCCCTCTCGTCTTCACTGCCATTAGCCTGGTGGACACTGTTAAGGGCTGCCTGGGGGATTTCTTCATTCTCTGGGATAACATAGGGGCGCGCCCTGCCCGGGAACGCCATCCTCGGGTGCTTGACAGCTCTGAGCCCAGGGCAGAGAGCAGCAGGACAGGGGATAGAGAAACAATATCCAGGCCTCCCCCGCTTCCCTGCCAGGGTCACTCCCACTGTTCCCACACACGTCAGCCCTGCGTTTGCCAGGGTCGCTCCTGGCCCTTCATGTTAAGAGCTCTAGCAGCAAAGCAGTCACTTGGTGTGTCAGTCCTGACTTACTGAGGCATTTCTGGAAGCTCTAGAAAACATTCCCCAAAGCAGTGACACAGTCTTTGCCGGAGCAGCCTTCCTGGTAGACCGGGTCTGTAAACACTGCCACACGAATAGAGAATTGCTTGGCAGGGTCCAAGAGAAACAAACATCCACGTGCCCTGGGGAATCTGTCACCAAGCATCATCCACACGAACACTGTGCTTCTTGTAAAGCACCCCCAGATATTCTGTTTCTAACAAGCTCCCCCCTGAGGCTAACGCGGTTGGCACACTCTGGGGCATATCCTAATGTGCAGGGCATGCTTGCCAGCTATGCCCCTGGCTGCCTTCCCCCAAGGGTCTGTGAGTCCCTGAGATTTGGAGCTACTTTTGACTTTTATTGATCCTAGCAGTTGGCACATAGCAAGAGTTGAATGATGTGTTCAATGAATGGACACAAGAGGAAATAGGAAAGGGTTGGAGTCTAGTTAGAAACCCCCAGCTGATCGTGGTCTTTATTATGCCAAGGATGCCCCTGGCATTCCTGCTGGAGTCAGTCCACACTGCTGACATCTTGTAGCAGTGCCACAGATGAGGAGGGTCATTATGAAGGCCAGGGGCAATATAGGGGCTCAGAACCTTTCTCCAAAAACAAATGAGTAAGTCAGAGGGATAAAAGGTACAGCACGGGGAATATCGTGACTGGTATTACAGTAACACTGTATGGTGACAAATGGTAGCCATGTTTGTAGTGAGCATAGCATGGGTTATACAGAGTTGTCAAATCACAAGGTTGTACACCTGAAACTAATATAACAGTGTCAACTATACTTTAATTAAAAAAAAAATACACACACAACAAACCCAAAATACTTATAAGCAAAAACTATAGAACCTCATGGATAAAATACAGGAGTAGTTATTAAATTGTATGCAAAAAAATTTTGAAGATTTATTCATTTTAGAGAGCAAGCAAGAGAGAGCACGCATGCATGTGCACATGCACATGGGGGGAGGGGCTGAGGGAGAGACACTTCAAGCACTCTCCCTGCTGAGCACAGAGCCTGGAGTGGGGCTCCGTCTCATGGCCCAGGAGATGATGACCTGAGCCGAAACCAAGAGTCAGACACTCAACCAACTGAGCCTAAAAATTTTTTTTAAATCAAATCAAATCAAATCAAATCAAATCCATCTTGTATGGGTGTTTCCAGCAACTGATACATTTGTTCATGCCTAAGGAAAGAAGCTATCAGGCCCTATTTGTTTGTTTTCCTTATGATATTCTTACAGTTCTTAATCCATACTAGGTACAGTGATTGCAAATCATGTTCATTCTCCTGCCAGAAACATCATTAGATGCAAAATATTCTGCCCACACTGATGTAATACTACTTGGAGACACCAACCAAAGGGCAGATGCTGAAGTAGGTCCTGGAGACTTCCTTTTCCTTCAGTTCAAATAGTTTCCAGGGGATCTGGGGATACATTTTCTATGTTCTTTTAGCCTCACTTCACATGTCAGAAATGTAACCTTCAGGAAGGCAGGAACTTTGTCTTGTTCATGCCTGTACTCCAGCATCAGGGATATACAGTCCACCACTTAGCAGGTGTGTGGTAATTACTTGTTGATGATTGAACCCAGATTAATAATCCATCTACTTGATCGAGGAAACCATGAAAACAGTGAAAGAGCAATTTAGCTACCAGTCTGCTAAGCATTTTGAGTCAGCAGATCTAAAAATATAAACTAATTATCTTAACTTCATAACAGCTAGTCTTATTTCTACTAGACAGAAAAGCAGAACTACGAAAAAAGCTAACTGTGTATTAACAGATACAATGAAGACTCTTATCTGGCAAGGAATTAAAAATATGTGAAAGATCTACAATCAAATTTTAACTTTTTATTTTGAAATAATTGTAGTCACAGGAAGTTACAAAGACTGTACAGAGAAGTCCTTCAGACCCTTCACATAGTTTCTTCAATGGTTACACCTTATGTAATTATAGTCCGATGTCAAAACCAGGAATCTGACACTGGAACAATGTGTGTATATACATTATGTGTATGTCATTTCATCACATGGGTAGATTCATGTAACCACTGCCCCCGATCAAAAGACAGCACTATTCCATCACCACAAAGATCTCTCTCATATTATCTCTGATTGTCACGCCCTCCTCCACACCTTGCCATCCTGTGATCTCTTGCAACCACTAACCTGTTTTTCGTCCATGGAATTGTAATTTAGAGAATGTTATCGCTATGGACTGAATGTCTATGTCCCTCCAAAATTCCTATGTCGAAAGCCTAATCCCAAATGTGACGGTATCTAGAGGTAGGACTTTGGGAGGTAATTAAGTTGGATTAGGTCATGAGAGTGGAGCATTAATCCCTCATTATGGGATTAACATCCTCATAAGAAGAGGAAGAGACACAGATCATTCTCTGTCAGCCATGTGAGGATATAGCCAAAGGCGGCTGTCTACAAGCCAAAATGGATCCTCACCACACACGGGATCTGCTGTACCCTGATCATGAACTGCCCAGCCTCCAGAGCCTTGAGAAATAATTACTTGTTGTTTAAGCAAACTGACTAAGACAGCTACATGGAATCTTAAAGTATGTGATCCTTTAAAGGCTGGCTTTTTGTATTCAGCATAATGTCCTCGAGATCCATCCAAGTTGTTAATATATATCAACAGTGTGTTCCTTTTTTATTGCTAAGTAATATTTCATGGTAACCATTCACCCACTGAAGGGCATTTAAGTAGTTTCTAGTTTTGGGCCATTGCAAATAAAGCTGTGTATCGGTTCCTATGTGCATATAACTTTTCATATCTCTGGGATAAATGTCCAAGAGTGAAATTGCTGAGTTGTATGATAAATATATGTTCAGTTTATTTAAGAAAGTGCCAAACAATTTTCTTAAGAGTGGTTATAGCATTTTACATTGCCACCAGTAATGTATGAGAGACTCAATTTCTCCACATCTTCACCAGCATTTGGTGCTACCATTATCTTTAATTTTAGCTGTTCCAATAGGTGTGAGGTCACAACTTTCATTACGTATATATATTAAGTTTATGTATATGTAGGTAAGTATAAAAAATAAGTCAGAAATTTCAGTCTACCAGATAACTGTATTGACTAGAAGGGAAAAAGTAATACATATATTTGGGAAAAAAGTCAAACACTAAAGAGAGATATAAAATGAAAAATAAAGTCTCTTAATAACTTATCCACATCTTCAACTAAGTCAGTTCCATGGTGTCCTTCTGCTAAATCAGATTAGTGCTGGAAATTTAGTAAAAATTCTCTTATCTCTTCAAATTATGCTATTTAAAAAATGCTGTGTTAAGGTGAAGCAGGTAGGAGAACTTCCATTTTTTCTGGTTTCCTCTACTTCCTGTTGGGACCATGTTAATGAGCGTGTGCTTTGCACACAGTACGTCCAAACAGAATTCTTCAATTGAAGTCACCTCAATAGGAGTCAGTTTTATGATCGAAGTTTATATACTAAGTTAATATTTTTAAACTAATCAATCAGTGTGTCTATTATATGGATGTTGAGACAGATTTGTGGCTCTCTTTGTTTACAGTTTTGCCAGATCTCATTCTTTCCTCCTTTTCTTTGTTTTTTATCACCAAAGAATATCATAACTGGCAGCGGGGAGGGAGAAGGGAGGCTGAGGATCTAAAGAAAGAAAAGATGGGACAGGACAGAGCCCGATCATCTATCCCACATCTCCTTCCTATGAGCCACCCCCTCACCCCAGGAGCAAAAGACCCTGGCCAGTAGACTCTTGCAGAGAAATTCCCTGAACCTTATATATACCGAAACAACAAAGGCACAGTGAGGGTTAAGACCAACCAGGAAGGCTTAGCTCCTGCAATTGTGAATGAGCTCTGCTATTCAGAAGCTAGTGGCAATGGGCTGCCCTTCCTTGAGCAGCTTTTCCATTAAGGTTTATAGCTTCTTAAAAAGTAATTGCTCCCAATAGGGGAACCTGGGTGGCTTGGCCGGTTAAGTGTCCAACTCTTGATCTCAGCTCAGGTCTTGATCTCAGGGTTGTGAGTTCAAGCTCCACATTGGGCGTGGAACCTACTTAAAAAAAAAAAAAAAAGAAAAAAGTACTCACATTATTCCACTGTTTGCTTATTTGCATTATTTTACATCATTTCTGAACATATGGAATTTTTACTATGAGCTCACAATGCAACAGGCCTAAGGGGTACCTGAGAAGTGCCTGCTGAATGAATAAACAAGTGAATACAAGTCACAGCCTGTTTCTAGGAGTATACAATGTACTTAGGGAAATAATATATGGATATACATTTTTCTCCCATCATTCAAGCCTATAAGGATGCAGATTTCTATTTCAGTGCCAAGTGCTGAGTGAAGTGGGCTGTCTGTGTGTGTCCTAGTACCTGAGTAAAGGTCATTAACCACACGGCCACTGCAAGGTTAGGTGGCACTATTTGCCCAAAAGGACTGTATAGGGGAGTCGGTTGGTCAATCACTTCTTATCCAGGCACCATAGAAGAGAGCTAAAAGAAATGTGTGGTTGTTTTTCCAAGAGGACATGGGGGGTTCATTTCAGGCCAAATAAACACCACTGCTTAAGTTTTATATCCAGGCATTTTACTACTTTCAAAGCATTTTTGACACTTAATGTCACTCTAAGAAATGTAAACAATCCTTTTAGATTGTGATTGCAGCCATGAGAAAACTATTTATCTGAACACCTCTGATGGAAATTACTACTGCCACTATAGTGGCATCAAAATAGTCCTTGAAGTAGGGTAGGAGGCTGCTTTCATAAAATACTCACAAAAGCCAGTTTTGTCTGAATAGTGGGCCTGTTAGGTGGCTTTTGCTGAAGAACTAGGGTTTCCCGAGGCCCATGATTCCTTAAGGGTTCTTCCCAAGAGGTTCTATAATCTGATCACCATGGTTGATTCGGGTCCTTGAGAGGCCCCACAGGACAGGTCTGAATCCTAAACATCCTTTAAATCCATCCACAGAAGACAGACTTGTATTTCATAAACTCAACATTTTTTTGATTATCTACTGTGTGCC